CAATCCCGTGCATGATTGAATAGTATTTCAACGTGTTCTATTGCGTCGTTGCTAAAGCTTCTCATCAAATTATTTAAAATGAATTGAATAAAATAAAGATGAGATGAGATGAGATTGAGAATGGAAAAAGGTAAGATGGTGACATTGAGACGATTCGATTCCTTTCTCATATTTCTTTGTAGGTGAAGAAGAAGGAAAGAAGAAACGAGAATGAAATCATCACACATTTATACGTTCAATTAGTAAACAAATACATTATATTCACACAAGGGTTATAACTTTGCACATCATTTTTTAAGTGTTAAGCTCTTCGAAAAAGAAAAGTTCTTTTCGATAGGGCATAGTCTGACTATCGATTGGTATCGCACAATCAAAAACAAATTCATCCCCCCGCCTATTTGTTCATGTCTAATTGACCGGGTCGATTACTACCATTACCACCTACACTCATCATCATCATGAAATCGTCAGTCAATATAGCAACACGACGAAATATATATATATATATATATATATATCGAGAATAAAAAGTAACTTAATAAAGAACAACAAAAGCAGCAAGTGAGCATACACTCTGTATGTTCATCTTTGAACATATAAACTATACATTTTAGTTTAATTTGAAATTGATAACGGAGAAAAGCAGACGGCATGAAGCATCGACCAACTTATCGTTTCTCTCTCTCTCTCTCTCTCTTTCCCTTTTCTTTCATTTTTGGTTCATCGTTGAACTATGAATAGTATACTATTCATTGTACACATACTAATAAATATAAATCTCTCTCGCACAACTAATTCATGCAGATGCGCTCGCGCGATTGATTGAGCCAGTCGATTATTGTCATATCACACTATAAAAAGACAGGTCATGTCACTTACTACTATCCTCAATTGTGAACTTTGTCTCTGTTCAATATAAAATAAAAGTAAGAAAGAGAGACACTTTAATCGGATGCAGGTAGATCAATTTATTGTTTGTGTTGCATTGTTATGTTTGTACGCTCTTGATTTAACGAGAGAGAATATATGCATCAATGTCATCGACTGATATTATAGACAAAAATTAGCATAAATCGTATAAGTAGTCTCATACTCTCTTCTTTCTTTTCTTTTTTTTTTCTTAACGAACATTTTCAACAATAGATATCCATATGATTGAAAGGATTAACCTAAGTGTGATGTTGAATATATATATATATATAACTTTCATTTATTCATTTGAACGAAAATAATTTCATATCATTTTAGATTTAATGGATGTATTACACTATTCGTTTAGTTTAAGTGCTTGTCCAAAATGTCATTTACTTGTATGTAAACATACAAGTCTTGCCAATCTTGATTTTCGTTCAATCGAACAACAACAAGAAAAACAATCAATTATTGAATCTAATAATACAATATCAACTAATGTTAAAAATCGTTGTCAAAGATTTTCATCTCATGGTATGAATTTTTATATATTACCATCAACAACAACAACAACAACAGCAACATCTAATAATCGTCATAGTTGGACAACATTTGGTACAGGTTCAAATGAAAGTATAAATACACTGGAAAATTTATCTATTGATAATGAAACATTATGTGATAATATTCCATTTGCTAATGAAAATATAATTCATTCATCATTATCATTAAAACCTGCATTAAATCAAATAGTTCGTACACAATCTGAACGTTGTCAAAAAAATTTTAAACCACGTATTTGTTTAACAAAAAGTTATTCATTTTCAACTATATATACAACACCTAAATCAACAAAATCATTAACATTATCTCCACATAGTATACAACAAAATAAAAAACAAACAAATAAATTACATTCAAAATTTTCAATATTATTTATTATTATTCTTATTATATCATATCTTTTAACAAATACATTAGATATTGTTCTTCTTTATATATATTATCATACAAATTTTATCTATTTTATAATTTTTTTATTGATACTTTTAATTTGTGATATTATTTTATGGTTAAATAATTTAATTGATATGAAAAATCTTTCAACACGTTTATTATTAATACCATTTTTATTACGTTTTTATATACTTTATAAACTTGTTGAATTAATGATAATTATATTTAATAAAAATTTTATTGATCATACACAAATATTTAATTCATCATCATCATCAACACCATCATCATCATCAACAACAACAACACTTGAAACAAATCTATCACAAACAACAAATTCATGTTTTATACATAATCAATATATAAATCAATCATATAAAACAATGAAACGACGATTATTTCAATATTTAACATTATTTTATCTTATTCATTCAAGTCTTGTTATTTTTATTAATCTTTATTTTTGGTCAAATAATTTTCAATCATCAACAAAATCAATATTAAATATGAATTATTTTATTCCACAATGGACAACAGATAATGATTTATTATTGTCAACATCAATGAATATGATACCTGTTCGATCTTCATTAACGTAAGTAGAAAAGAAATAAGATTCCTATTGTCATGCATATGATATAATCATTATTGAATATATGTTAATGTAAAGTTCAGTATGATTATAACATAGAAGTATTAATCAGAGTTATTATTTAACAACAAAAAGAAAAAGAACAAATGAGATGAATCGGAATAGCGACGTACAGGGTAGACTTTTTTTTTCGTATCCTAACTAAGAAAAATTTTCTTACTCTTATCCTTTTTTTTTTTTGAAAAAGAAAACGAGTCTGCAGACGGCAATGATGGCAGCAAATTTATTTTTTACAAAAATAAAAATCGTTTTTTCAAAATAAAAAATGCACATTTTTTTTCACGTTAAAATGAGCTCTTGTCTGACTGAGTATCATCACCTTACTCTACGAAGTTTTTATCTCATTCTCCTTTAATATTATCCTAATCGGAAGATTCTGAAAATGATATATAGCATCATGGTAAAGATGTATAAGGTAAGCTTTTTTTTCATATCCTGTATCTTGAATGAGAAAAATTTTTCCAACCCTTACCATATCCTATCTTGCAGGATGATAAAGAGGAGGATAACCCTACATATCTTTAAATATGAATTGAAAGAACACATTTAATGACTGATCTATTTTAGTCAGAATTTATACGAAATCTACAGTTGATTTAAGTTCATACATAGTAAAACAATTCAAATTCATATGTAGAGTTTTGTATATGATTTTTATCGATTCGGAGATAAATTATTAACATCTGTTTTTTTTTTTGTTTAGATATTGGCCAAAATTTGATAACGATCGAAAACATACTTTTCGTCGAACAATGTCATTAAATTGGACTCGACCAATATTTTATCGACAAATTCCAATTAATATACCTGTTCCTTCATCATATGCTTTTATTATTACTAGTATTTTTTATCATTTAATAATAAACTATTGTTTATTATCAACATTTCTTATTCTTGAACGTACATCATTGATAATTATTTTATCTATTCTATCACGATTTTGTTTAATTATTACACGTATATATACATTTATCTTTTTATTTCATCTTAATGCATGGTGGTTTGCAATAACATTTTGTATTGTTCATTTTTCATTAATGATTTCTCTTATATTCGATCGATCAACATTTAAAGATAATCAAAAGAAAATTTTTATTAAATTAATTTTTTCATTTTTAACACATAGTTCAATTAATGATTTATCAATAAATGCATTAATATCACTTGAAAATATTTCAATATTTCTACATCGTCTTTATCTTGAAACATTTTCATTACATAATGAAACAACAGTACGTTTAATTATATTTATTTCAATACTTATTTCATCACAAATAATTGGTTTTCTATTTGATATTTTATCGAAAAATATTCTTTATCGCACTGGAACAACTAATCAAACAATGAGTTAATTATTAAAAAAAAAATTAAAATATATCGTTTGAATTTTTCTTTTTCTTTTTCTTTTTCTCGTTTTGCTTTTTAGTTTATTTAAATAAATCAAACAAGATTGTTTGATTGAATTAAAACATTTTTTTTTTGCTTTGTTTTTTTTTTTTTGATAAAGAAATCTGAAGAAGAGATATTCATCGCAATGTATATTGTAGACTACAGTCTAGAAATTAAAAGATTTGTTAATTGAGTAAAAGAAGTTCTAATAAGTTGTTGTAATAGATTAACAAAGAGTTTTTTCGAATGTTTTCTTTTTCTTATATATGACGATACAATCTATCAACAACAAAAGAAATAAGATATTACCTTTGCAGTTATTTTTATGAAAAAGATATAAGTTTTATCTTTTGTATTTTTTTAGAAAAATTATGTATACAATTATCTGTAAGACATTTCGAAAAGTAACAATAGAGTTAGGAAATATACATACAAGTTTATTGTTCTATCATTTACTAAAAAAAATAATAGTTCATCAAATTCATACATTTTTTCATCTCTATGAAATCAGTCGCATTTATATTTTTCTCTAATTGATATCAATTGAGATTGACAATTTGCTATAGATAGTAACCATTTCGTTGAGCTATGCACTAATCTATTGGCGTTCAGTCACGGATAGACATAAGTCAATATCAGAAACCAATGTCAAATTTATTATCATTCACTAATGAACTACAAATGATTAATAATAACATGGATCGTAGTATCTGTCAGGATTCGTATCGTCTTTCAGGATTATAGAGTCTGTCAGAATTCCAGCGAAAGAGTCGTTCAATAAAAGATACCCCCACATCGTTTATCAGGACGCTGCGATGTATGTAATACTAATAATAATACCATCGTATATATCTGGTTAAGAAATAAAAGTTCAGTTCTTTCTACTTCATCAATCAAAATATTCTAATATTGACTTATAATTTGAATGTTCCGTTCTATATCATATTAGACACTAACATATATATTTGTTTATTTACTCATTTTGAGAATGAATCATATTTACAAATTATTTATTCTTGTTGAAATGCTTATACACTTTATTTATTTTTTATTTTTCTTTTTGTTTTCAAACATTACGAAAATAATCATATTATTTAAATAAACTATCACGTTTTTGAATATTTTCTTTAATTTCATCTGTAATAGCTTTTGTCATATGATCAATAGTTAATTTATTTGTTAATGAAAACATATTTCCTATTAATTCATTTGGTTCACGTTCACCACCCCATTGTAAAAAATTTTTTCTAAAATGTTCACCAGTTGTTTTCGATAGAGGATCTTTTAAAAATTGATCATTCCATATTTTACTTGCTATTGAACGTGCAATAATATAACTAGAAAAACGAGCACCATAATCAACTAAATGATAAAATTTTAAATACGGATATGTTGATGAAATATAAGGTAATGATGTATATTTTGTTAATAATGATGAATAAATTTTATCATAAGGTTGTGATAATGGATATTGACTATGAAATGCATGATCAAACATTGCACATGCTACCTATAAGAAATTCAAAATAAAAATTTAAAGGAAAATCTTTTTAAAAATTATATACTTGAACTTGAGTACGATATGCTTGAAAACAATTTTGAGTTAAATGAAGACGTTGAAGAAGTTCATCAGGTATAATTTGACCAGTTAGATAATGTCGTGCAAATAATTTAACGACTCGTGGTTCATAAACAAAATATTCCATCCACTGTGATGGAATTTCAGCAATATCAGTTTGACATCGAGTACCAGATGCATGTTGATAACGTGTTCGAGCTAATGCTGAATGCATTGCATGACCAAATTCATGAAATAAATTTTCTACCAATCCTTTAAAATAAATAAAAAATAAAAAAAAAAGAAATATTTTCATATTTATTTTATATTTATACCTAATGTAAGAAGTGTTGGAACATTAGGATCAATACTTGGAGGAATATTAACATGTAGAACAACAATTGGTAATTGCCATGAACCATTCTTAAGACGTCGACTACATTGAATTGTAAAATGACAATCATGTGGAATTTTATCTTTTCTAAAAAAAATAAAATATAATTAATAATAATAATAAATTTCAAAAAATAAAAATGAAAATAAATCTTACCGTTCAAATAAATCACAATAAATATATCCAACAGTTCCTTCGGTCACATGATCAACTGAAAGTTTTATAACAGATGGATGCCAGATTTCTCCTGGTGCTGTTGCTTGTTTATTTAACGTTACACTAGAATAATAAAGAATTTAATATAATCTCTAACTGGCAATCTACAGTGGTGATGTGAGAAGGTTAGAGCAGGATAGGAGGTAGATCCGTGCGCAGGTCTGAGGACGAGTTCTAACAGGAGAATAGACGGGTTTGCGGAAATCTGAGAAAGGTGTTGTCCAACGCCTTAGCGTTCCGAAGCAGTAGAAATTTAGTAGATGTACTGTAAATTTTCTTTGCATTGAGAAATATGCAAAAACTTTGTCATTTTCGACCGCGATTTTTATAATAGCAGTCAAACTTTGAGACAAATTCACAAATTTATATAGAATTCTAACATGTCTTACAAATCTTTCTAGCAGAAACATGTTTGACGTTTAGCTTAGATAAGTTTCTCAATTGTTTTCATCATCGGATACGACCATGCTTCCAACAACTGTCAATCACTATCAGATTTCATTGGAAACTCAAGTTTGTATTCAGTTTTCGAAAAATAGACAATTTTTTTTTAATTTGGAGAATGAAATAGTCCTATTGCATAACGTCCTTACAAAACTGAAAGAATATAGGTCAAATCTTCCACAATTAAAGGAAGTAGTCGACAAACTCCCACAGTTTTTCAAAAAATCAAGTTGTGACAGTTGATCCAAAATGGAAGCAAGGTTTTAGCCTAAATATTTACAAATCAAAGAAAACTGCGCTCAAAATGAGGAGGGAAGTACTTTCCTCCGGTCGCGCTGCCACTGACAACATATTCTCATGTTTGATGAATTTGTAATCAAAGATGTCTTACAGCTCTTTTTAACTCGTAGTTTTAACATTTATCTACTACTGAAAAAAAGATCGAAAGAATTATTTGTGGGACCAATACTCCATATGTAGGACTACGCTATCGCTTAGAAATGTCTGATAATAAGATATTAATAATTTATAAAAATTCAAAAATTAATCAAATTTATTTTGAATTTAAACATACTTGAAAAGACTATTGAATATTATATTAAGTCCATCCATACAAGCTCCAAGTGAAAAATATGGTGTATATTCTTGTATATTAATTTTTAAACTAAATAAAATACACAAAAGAAAAAACAACTTTCTTTTGATTAATAAACATTTTACAATATATATATACATCTCTGATTTAAATATTGCTTCTAATCTTGAAATATCCCAAGGACTAACTGATTGATTGTTTGATTGAGGATGAAGAGAATTTTTAAGTATTTGCATTAATTGTATATCTCTATCAGCTAATGGTCGAATTGCATTCATTATCTCTTCTAAATAATTACTAACATATTCTGGTTTATTTAATAATGTATTATCTAATGCACGATGACTATATGATGGATAACCACATAATTTTGCTAATTGATATCTAAAATATCATTTAAATAGATTAGCAAAAAAAAAAAAAACAATGAAACATAGAATTTATCTAAATTAATAAACCTTTTACGAAGTAATTCATCAAGTAATTGTTCTTGTTCGGGGTCAAAACGAAAATAATTACGAAAAACAAATTCACGTAGATTTTCATCATCATCATTCGAATGAGCAGAATTAATTGTTATTGTTTTTTCATGAAATCTAATTTTCCAAGACAAAAATAAAAAAGAAACGAAAAGAAAAACATAATTAGAAACATATCAATTTCTAGAATATTATGTCAAAGATGACATTTTGTTTTCGTTGTTAAGAATGAAGTTCCTATGAATTTTTTACATCAACCATGATCAATTTTTTATGTTCTATCTGTAGCTATAGTCGAAATATTCACAAAATACAAAATAAAGATTTCGCAATTGGTCGAAGATTTACATTTTTTAAATTTTTTTCAACTAATTCCAACTGGTTTTGAGACTTGTGCTTAACAACAGACAAAAGTTTTGGAAAGAACGTTCAAAAGTGATAACAACTAGTATAAAAAATCGTTAGGAGTTCAGTAATTCTCAATACTAATTATGTATTTTTTGTATGTAGAATTCCCAAAGCTATTCTTAGGTTTCGTCTAATGCAAAACGCAAGTAGAGCTCCTCGGATCCAAAATTTTCGGACCCAGAACCAACTGCTGTACTCTACATACAAGTCTCAAAATCAGTTGAAATAAGTCATAAAAAAAATATAAAGTGCGAATTTTCAATTGATTCTAGAATCTTCATTTTGCATTTCATGAATATTTCGACTATAGCTTCAGATAAAGCATAAAAAAACTGATTATACTTGATATAAACAATCTACAAGAACTACATTCTTAATAAGAAAAAAAAAATGTTATCTTTGACATTATGTTCTAGGCATTTAGTGTATCCCTAAACATAATACAGTATTTTGTTTTTCGATTTCTTCATTCTATGATATCTTACCTCATTCTTACCTTTTCTGGTAATTCTTTAATGGGAATTTTATATTCTCGATGTGCATTATGTCGAAATTGATTTTCTAGATGTAATATATCATCATTTAATTGTAAATATTTTAAACGATTTTGTTCATTTAATCGAATACCACATCGTTCAAAATCAATTAAATATAATTTTAAAACACGTTGATCTGTTTCATCACCTTCACCTAATTCATAAGCTTGTTTAGCATGTTCATATAATTTTGTATTTGTATTCATTTTTTCTACAAGATGATGTAATATACCATATGCTTGTTCAGCAGCTTGTTTATATGAAAAATCAATATCAACATTACGAATAAATTCAGCTAAATCTGCTACACGACATATTTCATCAGATATTTCATCTAATATTTCAACTATTTTACGTCTTGATGATGAAAAACATTCATCAAGTAATAATTCACATTTTTGAACAGCACGTTCAGCAAGAATATGAAAACCATTTGGTGTTGATAAATCATTAATTTGAAATAATCCAACACTTTTTTCTTTTGATAATGTTTTAAGCCAAGATAATGGTGAAATTTTATGAAAATGATTTGAAAAAAGATTTGAATTTCGTATTGATGTTGATATAACATTAAAATCATGAACAATTGATGAATTAGATTGTTTTGTATGTGAATAACGATATGCAATAATTGATGATGATAATATTTGTTTCTAAATACAATATAAATAAATAATTTAAAAATAAAAATTTAATTTTATACTTGCACACGTGATCGAATAGAATCAAAAATGATTTTTTGCATAATATATAAAAATTGAATTAGTCAAATGAAGTAAACGAAGAAGATTTCTGTAAGAACTATTGGAATATATTTGGTATTATATGGAATTTAATAGATGGCAGGAGTATTCCTTCTATTTTCTAGTGAAGTATCAAAAAAATACTTCCTCTCATTATACTATAATTGCTTTTGATCATCAACATTATTAAAATACAGACATGACATGACAAGTTTCTCATCGAATATTTCTCGTGCATATTTTTTTCTTTTCGACATTGTCATATTTATATTGAAAAGGATTTGCACGACGTTTTCTTCTTTCTATTTTTCCAGGCTATCTTTTCCCTTTTTTTTGAAAAATCTCTTCCTCTCGATGATTATCGTTCAGTTAACATTTTCTTGATTTTACGGCATTTTTTTCATTAATATGCATAAAGGAAATGTAGTCTAGAAGCCTTTTTACTAGATAAAGCATGCACATAATTATTAAAATATTAGCCTGGGGATATAGATGATGTTCAATCTTGCAAACTAGTAGATAAATATAGTGGCATGAACTATATTGACATAGTACTCATTTGCTTGTGTTCAAGAATGAATTCTATTCTTTTTTTTATTGTTGTCTTCAGTGAATTGTTCTTATCATTTTCTTGATTGATTTTATTCATGAAGACTGAGCGAGCTTCCATTATGTAAATAAAAAAAAAAACAAAAATAACAGTCGATGATTGTTAAATTGAATGAATATATGCATATGTAGTCTCATACCTCGATAATTCATCATTACTACATCATCAAATATTGATGATATACAGGTGAGAAACAATTAATATAATTAATCTAAAAGGTTATTTCGAAATCCTAAGAGTATGTTGGGTCATTGAAGTTGAAAAGCCCAAACCTTGATAAAAATGATTATTTTTGTTTCATAGACACGAAACAGAACTATGTTAATTCCGTCACAGGAGAATAATAGAATAAGATTATTTTGTCACCACTCCCTGAAGACTTTGTGATCGTATACAGCTGCAGCATTGATGTGTGTTTAATGTTGTCAATAATCAGTCTAATGGAAAAATTTAAAGATGAATGTTCATATATTTTAAACTTTGCAAACAAAAAAAAAACAAAAGAAAATAAATTAGTTTTAAACAATTATTTTAAAATAGGCATCTATTAGTAGACGGTAAACTATATTCTAATTGAAGACATGCTAGAAAAACTTTTCTTCATTTTATAAATAGTTATTTTTTATACTAAAAAGGTTTCAAAAGCTCATTTTTTAATGCCAACGTAGAGATTCTATTAAAGTCATGAGAAATTTATTTTTTTTGTATTATTGAAAACAAAATTTTTTTTGTACGAAAATCAAATTTTATATATAAGTTATGAATTATCTGTATCAATCTAATTTTCACATATATCTTTCACACATAAGATATTTCCCATTATAAAATGCAATATATGAATATAATTCCTTTTTTTCTTCTTCTTCTTCTCTTTATAAAGGTAGGAGTAACCTTGTAACTAAACAAAGAAGACTGTTAATTATAATGATTTTTTGACTGTATTAACTATAAAGTCATAAAAGTTATGAAAATATCAATTGTTGACCAAGTTTTGCATATTTATCGTTTCTATACAATTAAATAAATATAAAAAAGAAAATTGATGTCAATGACAACAAGACATGTCAAGATCAAAAGAAAAACAGGATAATTTTATAAATAGATTTGTAAGAAAAAAAAAAGTGTCTATTCATAATAGATCGCATATATACATGTGTCAATTATAAAGACCAAAAAATGTGTTCACAAGACATGACAGACAACAAAAAAATGAGAAAGTATGGACATCTGTTAAGTGACGAGGTATGTCGACATACATTTCACGATTAACTTCATTCTTTATCGGTAGTTATTCTTTCTCTTATTTTTCTTTTCTTTTTCTTTCTTCTTTTTTTTTTCCATTTTTGTTTTCATCATCATCATCATCATCATCATCATCAACAGACAGTGAGTATGTTTGTAACCATGAAGAAAAGGAAGAGAGTGTGAATGATGTGTAACACGGTAAAAACGACTATGCATTTGGAATGAAATTTGACCAGAAATCTTTTTGCGCGATAGGTTATTATTGATATTATTTTTCGAATTACAGAACACAACAAATACACATTCACATATTTATCGAAGAAAAAGAAGGTAAGAAAAATGTCTGAATAAAATCCTCGTCTCTCTCGTTCTCTTCTCTATTACACAAACATCAAAACACGCACAACAATTACTACCAATTGTAGATTTTTTTTTTCTGCTGCTATATGCCATAGTATATACAGTACTCTTGCTATGAGCTGCGTTATTACCGTTGGTGTTTTTTTTAATTGATTTAGACAGAATACTGATTATATTTACTTAACAGTCAAATGTAAACAAATCTTGAAAAAAAATTTAAATAAAGAGTAAAATGAAAGGAAGTAGAATGCAAAGATAAATATTTATTTACTTAGTTTTTAAATATTGTTCTACTTATTTCAGTTATATATAATAAGTTGATTTGCTCTTTTTTTTTTTTTTATCGAAATAACCTAATGATTAGAAAAATTTAAGTAAGTAAAGTGTATAGTATTAAAATTTATTTCATATGATTCTACTTGATGAATAATACTTGTCTAATATTTACATAATATTAGTTAGAATGTTTATAGACTTGTTGTATCAACTTGATAGTAACCAGATTTATTCTTTGCTTTTTATCTATAGGTAATAAGACAGAAAAGGCAATGAGTAAGTAAGTAAGTAAAAATGATCAAGAAATGTACTTTTTTTTTTCATTTTATTCATAGAATTATTATTAATTTTTATCTATTTAAAGAAAAATAATAAATTATATGTTCTTCGATAAAAATTAAATTATTAGAATAATTTCAAATAAAAACAAAAAAGAAATCAATAGGAACAATCTATATAACTATTTTATCGCTTACGATAAAAAAGTAACTAAAACGAAAATGTCATCATCATGTTTTTCGTTATTTTAACATTTGTCAGTACAGAAAAGGTAAAAAACAAGGTTGATTAGATTCTTTTTTTTTTACATATCACACACAATAAAATAACCATATGCCAAAAAAAAACAGAACGGAAGCAACAACTCCTTATGTCGATAGTAGAATATATTATTCGTGTAAGTTTTATTTTCTCATAGACATTAGCTGAATCAAATTCTATTTCCTGCCAATCTATCTGAATAATACGAAAGCGAAGAATAATGTTGAGATGCTGAATTTTGAAAAGAACCATTCATGCATTGGTAAACGTAGATAGAAAAAAAAATAGAAGATGATAAAGATTATGGATTCTGTTTTTTACCGTATTAAATGTTGACAACATAATAATGACGACAAATTTTCCAAAGATAGAAGAAGAGGAAAAACCTAATATTTCTTTTTGTTTCATATTTCATATTAAAGAAGGAGAAAAAAAAGTTGTTAAAGAATTTTAATATTAATACCTTGAAGGTCTCTTTAAGGATAAGGAGGCTTATTAATATTGTTTTAATAAGAATCGTCTGCTTCATAAACTATGTCATGATTGGACAAAAATGATATACGTGTATAGTATTTTTATCATAGTCTACAAACAAATTTCCTTTGAAAGCAAAAATTCTTTTATTCTTTTCATTTTTTTAGATATGATAAATTAAAAAAAAAAGAATTCAACTAATGGCTCAACCACAACCATCTCAAGAACTTATATTTATTTGTTTAAAATTTGGTATAAAATATCAATCAATTCAAATCGATAAATTTGATCCAAATGTTCTTGATCTAATAAAAAAACAAGCTGAAGATATTGTATCAAAAGCTATTGGTAATCTTGAAGCAAATGATCGTCCTCATCATATACAATTATTTCTTATTTCACCTGATCATCAAACACCAAGTTTAAAATTAATAAAACGTGCAAGTGATTTAACACCAGCATGTTTTATTGAAATTATTATATGGCGTTCAGATCAAGAAAATTTAATACCATCCCGTGATCATATACTTGTTGAACATAATTATAAAAAACCAACATATTGTTCACATTGTGATTATTTTATGTGGGGTCTTATGAAACAGGTTAGTTTTTTTTTTTTGAATAATATTTTCATAATGAAAAAAACAAAAAATATTTATTAATTGTCCTTTTTTTCTTTTTTGTTCTTGAATTAGGGTAAACGATGTCGAATATGTCGACAAGATTTTCATCATCAATGTGCTGAACATTTACCAGCTGATTGTCCAGGTGAATATTCAAGACATAGTACATTAATGAGTCGTGCATCATCAAATTTAACAATTAATTCAACAACATCACAAAGTCAAATATTTACTGATGGTGATATGATAAATGTATCTAATGACGCATCAAAAAGTAAAGCAACAAAACGTCCAAAAATTTTTGGTGGTAGTAATCGTAATCAAGTAGTAGTAAAACATTCACCAACAAATACAAAATCAACAACAATATCATCATCATCACCAGGTACATCAACATCAACTAGACAAAGTCCAACAAAAAATTCATCAACAATACTAAATACAAATCAAAATGATTCAACTATTCTAACAAATACAAATGAATCATCAACATCATTAACAATGAATGGTCGTAAAAATACACGTTTTTCACCTGATCAAACATTACATGTCAATTCTCGAATACCACCAATACATGTTAAACCTGATCGACGTAAAGATATTAAGATAACAAATTGTCAAGAAAAAGATGGTATTTGGACAGCAACAGGACAATTTGGTAGAGAAAGTCGTCATAGTAAACGTGCAGATATTACATATGATAAGAAAAAATTTAAATTTATACAAAAAGATGAACAAGGAAATAAACATGTTTTTGAAATACCAGCATCAGATATTGAAGGTAGATATTGTTTTTTTCTTTTTATTAATATCAATTCAATAATTGATATAAGTATAGCTTAACATTTTTTTTTAAATAATGAATTCTATCGAAAGTTGTATTAAGGCAATTGAAAACTAAAGTTATAATGACTTTAATTCAGCAAAAAAACAAATACAAAATATCAACTATAATGACATTAAAAATACAGACCAAAAAGACATGATTAGGAAGGATCAATGGTGTGGAAAAATGTTCATTTAACGAAATTTTTTGTTTTTACAAAACTTTTTTAATAATGACAAAAAAAATTGAGTTTATATACTTAGGGTTATCCAAAAGTAGTGACGGAGGTTCTTTTTTTCTTATAGAAAACTTGAAAAAATTTTCTTTTTTTATGAATAGATAGAGCGTCTTTCGCTCTATCTTTCTATGCTATTTGACCACTATTAAACTAATATCATAATAATAAAATTTCGATAAGAGCTATTTTTGTTGAAAACCAGCTGGTAACATTTAGATCATAATGAGTGTGATATAAAAAATGGGACACTTTTGTATTTCATTTTATTATCACTCCATACGTTGTATTAAAAAAAACAAAATATACCAGAAGATGCAGCGTGAAAAGCTCTATAATTTATAAAGTACCGCTTATTTTATAGTTGTACTTTTTGTTCTAAAAATGGACAAAACTCTGAGTTACCAAGTTTCGACGTGACGAAAACGAGACCTTTTTTTGGTAAAAAAACGAATTTGGTCTTTTTCTATCTTATCTTTGTATAGTTGTTCTTTGTAAATTGTGGAGCTCTTCACGCTGCATCTTGGAGTGTATTTTGCTTTTTAAAATAAAACATATCAAGTAATAAAAAGATGAGATAGGAAAAACGGAATTCATTTTTTACCAAAAAAACAATCTTGTTTTCGCAACGTTGAAATTTGACAGCTCAGAGTTTTGTCCATTTTTAGAACAAAAAGTACAACTATAAAATAAGCGGTACTTTATAAATTATAGAGCTTTTCACGCTGCATCTTCTGGTATATTTCGTTTTTTCAATATAACATATTATGTGATAATAAAGTGGAATGCAAAAATACCACACCCATTATGAACTAAATGTTACCAGTTGATTTTCAACAAAAATAGCTCTTATCGAAATTTTATTATTATGATATTAGTTTAATAGTGGTTAAATAACATAGAAAGATAGAGCGAAAGACGCTCTATCTATTCATAAAAAAAGAAAATTTTTTCAAGCTTTTTATAAGAAAAAAAAGAACCTCCGTCACTACTTTTGGATAATCCTAAGTACATTTTATTCTTAGAAAAATATGGATCAACACCACGATTAACAAATAAACATCTATTATCAAATGCATGTACGAATATGTTCCCTAAAGAATCATTTTATGTTTTCCCCCCTCATACATTTGATTACTATTGTGTTCTTATTGTTTAATAATTTAATCAATTCTTTAATTTTATTTTTAGGACACATTGTGTTTTTTTTGTTTTAGCTTGTCGATCACAATCATCACCTAGTATAATAACAAATGGTACATCAGATAACAAATCAGTTGCACCACCATTATTAGTAGCTATCTATCAAAAATTAGCTTGTCTTCTTCTTGATACAATCAATGAAGCTGTTCAATCAAAAAATGATCGTCGAATGCGTTCATCATTTAAAATGGTTCGTGGACCAGAAAATGATTCGAAAGATTTTGCTGATTTATATGATATGAATGAAAAAGAAATTCTTGGTATGGGTCGTTTTGGTATGGTATTTGGTGGTACAATGCGTCGTAATGGTGTACGTGTTGCAATTAAAAAAATTCAAACAGCCGAATGTTCACAAAAAGATCGAGAAAATATTGAACAAGAAGCTGCTTATTTATTTCAATTGAATCATCCTGGTTTGTTGTTGTTATTGTTTTTTTTTGTAAATGAAAATTTTTTTTTTCTTTATTTTCATAGGTATTCTCAAATTTGAAGGCATTTTTGATTTTGAACAACATATATTTCTTGTTACTGAACGATTAGATACCGATATGTTAAATTTTATTCTTTCAAATACAAATCCAAAAGCTCGTCTCAATGAAGATGTTACACGTTTTCTTGCATTTCAATTAGTAGCAGCTATACGATATTTACATTTTAAAAATATAGCGTAAGAAATCTTATTTTCTCATATAAATTAATCATATCTTTTTTTTTTTTTTTTGATGATTTTTATAGACACTGTGATTTAAAACCTGATAATGTTTTAATTAATATATTTCCTGATGATGTAGTACATTTAAAAGTTGGTATGTATATTTGTATATATATGAAATATTATCAGCAACGTGTTTTTCTTTTTTTTATCACTTTAATATAACTATTCGGGAAGTTGACTTAGATATCCTTTTATTAAAAAAAAAAAGTTAGAATTTAGCAAATAAATAATTTTTATTAGTCTGCTTTGAAAGTTTTTTTTTCTTTAAATGAACTATAGATTATAGAGATAGATGTAGTTTTAATTATTCATATGGATAGATATTGTGTGTTCATTTGATCTGATAAGCTTTTTTTTCGATTAATTAAAATAATAGTTTTATCTTTTAAAAATTTCTAAAAAGAAAATATTTTTCAATTAAATTTATTTATCATAGGTGATTTTGGTTATGCACGAACTATTCATGAACATTCATTACGTTATACAAAAGTAGGTACAACTGCTTATCTACCACCAGAAGTATCTCATGATCAATGGCGAACTGCTCGTGGTTATAATAAAACAGTCGAGTATGTATTTAAATAATTAATTAAAATAAATATTCAATTGATTTATATTTATAGTATGTGGGCAATTGGTGTAATTATATTTGTAAGTTTAACAGGTTATTTTCCATTTCATGAAGAAGTTGATATATTACCACAATTGGAAAATATTCCAAAATTATTTCAAGATGATTTATTTAAAGAAATAACAGATGAAGTAAAAGATTTATTACGTTATCGTTTATTAGTGCCGGATGCTGGTCATCGTATGCATTCAGCTGGTGTTATTTATCATGATTGGTTTCAAAAATCACAAAATTTACTTAAATCATGTAAACAACTTGAAGAATGTTTAGAAAAAAAATGGTTAACATTATTTTTTGAAGAAACTGATTCAAATACAAATGTTCCAGCACCAACTATTGAAGAAAGCGACAGTAATTAAGCAAAAGAATAAAAAAACAAGGAACATAATAACTCACAAAAATAACCATACGATCTAGTCAAATAAGTTGTCACATACTTACATATATATATATATACTGTGAATCTATTATTAATTAAAACAGCAATTAAATCGGTGTTAATCATTTAATTGAGCAGTTATTCCATTTTATTTATCTATTTTGCTTGTGTTCTTTTTTTCCTTTCGTGCCATTTGCAATTTTCGTTTTATTTTCCTTTCTCTTAATTCATTGCACCCTCGATAATACATTTCTTTTTTTTTTTGTATAAAGTATTTTCTTTTTCTATAATGTGTTAAATAATGAAATAAGGGAAGAACAAATAGTGAAGAGAAAAAATTTCTCATTGATTCGAAATAGTCTCATATATATTTTTAAGTTTAATTTCATTGATTAAAAAAAAACTATCAATACTTATTCTATACATTTATTATATGTGTTTTTACTTTTAATTTTCGATACAGAATTAAATTTTGTAATTCTTTGCAACGACGAGCTTCTAGCTAAATTCGAACTTTCTATTCTCAAAGAAACAAACTTACGCTAAATCTTAAGATTATTGCGATTAGTGTCCTGCACGGGTATGACTTTTGACAAGCGGACCTGGGCTCGAGTACTAACCGATATCTAGCAGATAGTTTCATAGTCATAGTACGATTTTCAAAATTTTTATTTTATATAAAAAAGTATACTATTTAGTTTCTTTCATAAATAACGAACAAAAATAAAGAGATCATCTCAAATTTCACAAAAAAGCAAATCGATTCAAGATTCACTTGGTGTCTTTCTTTTGTTTCTAAAATCTGATCAATTTCACTAAGTCTACGTCTTTTTCCATCACAATAATACATGTTCATCTTTTTTTTGATGAATTCGTTTTCTTATCCATGTATTCAATAACTTTGTCGTATGGTTCATCATCATTTGTAGATGAATTTTCATTAAAAATGAATACAATAAATTACTCAGGTTTTCATTCCTATGCTTTTATATAGATAGTAGTATGAAAAAGTAAAAATATATTGAAATGCTAAGATCTCATTAATTGCCGAGTCGGATATTTGATACCCGATCGGATTGAAGAACACTAATTGTGATCATTTTGATTTGAAAATGACGAGTTTTCGGATGAAATTAAATATAATTATTCTTTAAATAAGTATTAAAATGATCTAAATCATTAAAAATACAATACAATTGTTTTTTCTCTGTTAATAGAAAAATCCTTATTTTTATGAGATGTCTCTAGGAATCGATATATTCAGTTTATCATTTATAGATTAACTATTCTTTGACATTAACCTAGTATAAAAGCTATTTAAACAAGACGTGATATTTAAGGCTCACTTAACACAGTATATTGAGAATTGAAGAACATCAACCTAGGCAAAAGTTATGTTTCGTTTTAATAGAGTACTTCTATGGGTAATCAACTGTAAAAAAAAACACATTGTAATGAGAAAATTTTTGCTTTCTATCAAATTTTCAAGAGCTTTTTCTGTTGATCATTTTTCTAAAACAATTTTTCGAGATTTCATTAAGAAACTAGTGTTACAGTTTTATTCTATACACTGTGACATAGCTAAAATGAGATTTTTTTTCTGATAAAAGACTACAAAATATGTATAAAAAGTTATATTCACATAATTCAAAATGACTATATTCTGGATCAATGCAACATCGTAAATTTCGTAGATGAATAGCATGAATAAATCTCGATAGAATATTGTTGATGATATTCGTTGTAAAAATAAGAGTGGTCATATTTCTTGATAGTTTATGAAAAATACATAGAGGACGAGTTAAATTGAAGATTCTTCTATACAGGAAAAAAAAAACATATCCATCATGAAACTCGAATCAAGACCTATTATAATAAAATCAGAAGCGTTTTGAAATGGACCATTTGTATTTTTCCGCTTCAACAGGCACTCGAGGTAATTATTAGTTGAAATAAATGAAATTTCAAAACTAACAAAAAATATGACGTCTGCTGTTTTTATAACAAGTATCACCGACAATATTCTATCAAGATTTATTTATTCTATTCAACTGTATCTTAGAAACCGACTATACGACTTTATAGAGCACACATTCATCAACAAAATTTACTATATCACATTTCTCCAGAATATAATCATTTTGAATTATGCGAATCAATTTTTTATGCAAAATTTTATGGTCTTTTATAAAAAAAAATCGTATTTTAAGCCATGTTACGGAAAATGAGGATGTTATTAAGATTTCGATATAATATGACTCTGCATGGTTAGCTAATGAAATAAAGTGAAAAATGGTTGTCCAAAAAGACCATTTTTTTCATTTGAAATAAGCTTTCAAATATATTGACTCGAGAACGAATATATTTTGACAATGAAAAAATGCTCTATACTCTTTTGTCGTTTTTTTAAGCATTTTTTCGCAAAATTTTCAAGTTAATTTGGTTTTAAGCAGTATTTTCAAAAGAACAGCTTTTCCAACTTTTACAAAGTATGATTTACGCATAAATTACCTATATAAAAGATATATTACTTATTTAATACAAAAAAAGATAATATATTTAAATAATTATGCTCTTTCAAAAACAAATACTGGAACTTGAATGTTCATTTGGAAAGGTGTTATTGACAATCAGACATTTCTAGACAGGAGAATGCAGCCAAAAAATACGATTTTTACTTCGATGTCATTGTCGAAGTATTAGTTCACAAGTAAATCAAGAAAAATAATCACTATAGAATTTATTTTTAAACAACATTTTGTTTCGTGTAGATTCTAGCACGTATCTGTTCATATTTTTCTTACAAAGCTCGATATTCCAATTCAACGTACAACGGTTGTCAATTTTTCAAAAATGAATATTTAGGAAAAACGAAAATTGATATGCCTCGTCGAAAAAAAAAAACAAACGTCAAATAATGCATTTTGTAGAGTAACTTCTAATCTACAAGCTGATATATAAATAAAAGTCTTGAATTTTAGTTTCGAATCGCAATAGTGAAAATATAAAAATTTTCCGTCCGAAATAATTTTTTGAGCTTTTCAAATATTATTTCACTACTAAATTTCTAAGACTATATTTGAAAAAAGCAAAAAATTCTAGTCCTAACTCATAGCTTTTGATACTTTCTAGCTGATCAAACGTGGACAAATATCTTGTCTAAAAACTTCTCAATCATCCGTTAATATCCGGAAGTTTGTATGTTGTCTTAATAGATATAATTCAAATAAATCATTACACCAAATTTTACTCTAATAGTTGAGAATATAGAATTTTTTAAAAATCTTTGTATTTCATATTACTGATTAACAAATTATAATTTTACATTGTTAATTACGTTTCTATTATCTTATAAAAATATTAAAATTCATACATTATTCCTAGGCCAAATCAATAGAAAGACATTATTGGTTTTCCAAATATCGACAATCATTTGAAATCGATTTGAAATTGCCCTATTAAAGAAATTTTTCAATCGAATACTTCGAAATAATTAATTTACAATAACATACCATTCTTGTTTGATAGCAAATTCAACGATACTATACATTATATAGATGACAATTGTTTATTGAGACTTTATATTTCTTGCACAATATCATTAATCAAAAATCTTCTTTTGTTTTTTCATCGACAAATTCCTAATAAAATTTCTATGAATAAAAAGAAATATTCCAAGTTTTTGTCAATAGAATATATCATACTTCTTATTCTTAGAAATCTATGTACTAACAACATTGGCATCAATCATTCGAACATATGTGTATGACATATACATTTATGCTTTTTGTTTGATAATTATGTCTTTTAGTATATACAAACAGAAACATATTCCCAAAAGATTTTTACATTCTTAGATATTGATTAATATTCAAAATATATGATCGTAGTACAATTCTCAATTTTCATTGAAATATATACTAGAAAGACTAAAGAAAAAAAACCTAATATCAACAAGAGAAGGATCATTATCGTCCCTTGATATGTCATCTATGACTGTTCTTATTATTGAACTTTATTTATCAATGTTTTGATGACTTTATGCAAGATGATCATATACCTTATTTGTTAGTGTTTTCACATTGTCTTTTATATAAAAGAGAATGTCACATCATTTGCACACAATCAAAACTTATTGGCACACTAAAAGAAAAAGAGAACGATCTATTCTAACAATAACAAAAGCAACATTTCGATGTGCTTCTCTCCGCCCATAATGTTCTTCGCGATTCATTAACTTTTTACATAAAAAAAAAAAAAAAAAAAAGACGAGAATGTCATTTTATATTTATGATGGTATTTAAAAGATCAGAGTCGATAATCAGAAATCAATTCCAGATTTTTTTTTTTGTAATATGAAAACAAATAATTCTCAATTGATGAAATCATCTCATCATTAGTTAACTAAGAATCGTCATACCTAAATAAACACAAAAAACAAAAAAAACGATTTGATGTATGTAAAAATTTTATTCACATATATCTCACAGCATGATGATAAAGATGAATTATCATTAAACTTCAATCATATAAACAAAAGTAAAATAAAACATGATGAATCTCTTGCGAGTCTTATTATATGTACATGTAGTTGATCAAATCAAACGATTGGCACGTAGACATAATCAATGATCAATCAAATCAAATGTTAAGAGAAATATCTTTGTTCAATACATTGTTCACGTGCGAATGACTTATTCTATTTAATCATCATCTTCATTTTTGTCTTTCTCGTGATCTGACCATTTGATTATACAACTTTTCCAAATATAGAACTGACAGTATAAACAACAAGACATCAACATATGCACATTTATACATATATATATATACATGACATGCATGGTTACCATTTATCAATACCACTTTGCTATAGATTTTTTTTTTTTTATTGTCACACAATGTTTCACCAGACTAGCAATTCTTCATATGAATTGTTCGATTTTGGAATGTATGTATACATATATGTGGAGCCCATTT